GTACATCATGGAATACTATGCAGCCATAAAAAAGGATGAGTTCATGTCCTTTGCAGGGACATGGATGAAGCTGGAAACCATCATTCTGAGCAAACTATTGCATGGACAGAAAACCAAACACTGCATGTTCTCACTCATAGGTGGGAATTAAACAATGAGAACACTTGGACACGGGGTAGGGAACATCACACACAGGGTTGGGGGAGCAGTGAGGTATAGCGTTAGGAGAAATACCTAATGCAAATGACAAGTTAATGGGTGCAGCACACCAATGTGGCACATGTATACATATGTAACAAACCTGCATGGTGTGTACATGTATCCTAGAACTTATAATAATTTAAAATATAAAATAAAATAATGGAAATCATAACAACCATTTTCTCAGACCACATTGGAATAAAAATAGAAATCAATACCAAGATGATCTTTTCAAATCACACAATTACATGAAAATTAAACATCTTGCTCTTAAATGACTTTTGGGTAAACAACAAAAGTAAGGCAGAAATTCAAAAATTCTTTGAAATAAATAAAGACAGACAGAGACACAACTAAAATCTCTGGGATACAGGAAAAGCAATGTTAAGAGGAAAGTTAATAGTGCTAAATACCTACGTCAAAAATTTGGAAAGATCTCAAATTACCTAACAGCACACTAGAAGAATAATAAAAACAAGAATGAACTAACCCCCAAGCTAGCAGAAGAACAGAGCTAAACTCAGAGCAGTACTGAATGATTGAGATCCGAAAATCCATACAAAGAATCAATGAACAAAAAGCGGGTTTTTTTGAAAGGATAAACAAGATTGATAGACCACTAGACTACATGAATAAAAAATAAAAAAAAAAAAAAACAGGAAAAATAAGCACAACCAGAAATGACAAAAGTGACTTTACAACCAATCCCACAGAAATACAAAAAGCCCTTAGAGACTATTATAAACACCTCTATGCATACAAACTAGGATATATGGAAGAAATGTATAAATTCCCAGAAACACGCAATCTCCCAAGATTGAATCAGGAAGAAATTGAAACCCTGAACAGACTAATATTGAGTTCCAAAATAGAATCAGAAATAAAAAACCTACCAACCGAGAAAAGCCCTAGATCAAATGGGTCCATGGCCAAATTCTACCATACATACAAAGAAAAGCTGCTACCAATCCTACTGAACTGTTCCCAAAAAATTAAGGAGGAGAGATTCCCTCCTAACTAATTCTACAAAGCCAGTATCACCCTGATACCAAAACCTGGCAAAGACACAACAAGAGAAGAAAACTATAGGACAATATCCCTGATTAACATGGATGCAAAAATCCTCAAGTAAATACTAGCAAACTGAATCCACTAGCACTTAAAAATTTAATTCGCCATGTTCAAGTAGGCTTCATTCCTGGGATGCAAGGTTTGTTCCACACATGCAAATCAATAAATGTGATTCACCACATAAACAGAATTAAAAACAAAAACCACATGATATTGTATGGATCTGTGTCCTTGCCCAAATCTCTTGTCGAATTGTAATCCCCAGTATTGGAGGTGGGGCCTGGTGGAAGGTGATTGGATCGTGAGAGTGGATTTTCCCCTTGGTACTGCTATAGCAATATGAGAATAGACTAAGACACCTTGCACTCATTTCAATAGACACAGAAAATCTCTCAATTAGATCCAACGTCCCTTCAGAGTAGAAACCTTAAAACAAACTTGCTATCAAAGGAACATACCTCAAAATAATAAGAGCCATCTATGACAAACCCAAAGCCAACATTATACCAAAAAAGCAAAAACTGGAAGCATTCCCCTTGAGAACTGGAATAAAACAAGGATACCTACTCTCATCACACCTATTCAACATAGTACCAAAATTCTAACCCAGAGCAATCAGACAAGAGAAAAAATGTAAGGCATGTAAACAGGAAAAGAAGAAGTCAAACTGTCTTCTCTGATGATATGATTCTATACCTAGAAAATCCCAAAGACTCCTTCGAAAGGCTCCTGGAGCTGACAAATGACTTCAGTAAAATTTCAGGATACAAAAGCCAATATACAGAAATCTGTAGCATTTCTATACACAAATAGTATTCAAGCTGAGAACCAAATCAAGAACACAATCCCATTTACAATAGCCACACACACACAAAAAGAACTCACCTAGGAATAATCTAACCAAGTAGGTGAAAGATTTCTACAAGGAGAACTAAAAAACACTGCCTGAAAGAAATCATAGATGTCATAAACAAATGGAAAAACATTCCATGCTCATGATTGGAATCAATATCATTAAAATGGCCATACTGCACAAAGCAATGTACAGATTCCATGGTATTCGTATTAAGCTACCAATTTAATTTTTCACAGAACTAGAAAAAGTACTCTAAACTTCATTTGGAACAACAATAACAAAAGCCTGAATTGCCAAAGCAATCCTAAGCAAAAAGAAAAAAGCCAGAGACATCACACTACCTGACTTCAAACTACACAATAAGGCTACAGTAACCAAAACAGCATGGTACTGGTATGAAAACAGACACATAGACCAATGGAACAGAATAGAGAACCCAGAAATAAAGCCATACGCCTACAGCCATCTGATCTTCAACAAAGTTGACAAAAATAAGCAATGGGGAAAGGACTTACTATTCAATAAATGGTGCTGGGATAGCTGGCTAACCATACGTAGAAGAAAGAAATATGGATTAAAGATTTAAATGTAAGACCCCAAATTAAGAATCCTGGAAGAAAACCTAGGAACCACCATTCTGGACATCAGCCTTGGGAAATAATTTATGACTAAGTCCTCCAAGGCAACTGAAACAAAAATAAAAATTGACAACTGGGACCTAAATGAACTAAAGAGCTTCTGCATAGCAAAAGTAACTATCAACAGAGTAAACAGACAACCTGCAGAATGAGAGAAATATTCACAAACTGTGCATCCAACAAAAGTCTAATATACAGAATCTATAAGGAACTTAAACAATTGAACAAGCAAAAGGAAAATAACCCCATTAAGAATAGGCAAAAGACCTGAACAGACACTTCTCAAAAGACAACATACAAGCAGCCAACAAACGTATGAAAAAATGTTCAACATCACGTCATCAGAGAAATGCAGATCAAAACCACACTGAGATACCATCTCACACTAGTCAGAATGGCCGCTATTAAAAGTCAAAAAATAACAGATGTTGGTGATGCTGTGGAGAAAAGGGAAGGCTTATACACTGTTGGTGGGAATGTAAATTAGTGTGGCCTCTGTGGAAAGCAGTTTAGAGATTTCTCAAAGAACTTTAAAAGGAACTACTCTTTGACCCAGCAATCCTATTACTTCCAAAAGAAAATAAATTTTTATACCAAAAAACCACATGCACTTGCATGTTCATCACAGAACTATTCACAGCAGCAGACATAGAATGAGCCTAGGTGTCCATCAGTGGCGGATTGGATGAAGAAAATGTGGTATATACATACCATAGAGTACTATGCAGCCATAAAAGGAAACAAGTTGTGTCCTTTGCGGCAACGTGCATAGAGCTGGAGGCCATTATCCTAAGCAAATTAACACAGGAACAGAAAACCAAATACCACATGCTGTCACTTACAAGTGGGAGCTAAACACTGGGTACTCATGGACATAAAGATGGAAACAACAGACACTGGGGAGTACTAGAGGAAGGAGGAAGGAGGCAGGGAGGCAGCAGTTGAAAAATTAACTACTGGGTACTATGCTCAGTACCTGCATGACGGGATCAATCATAGCCCAAAGCTCAACATCATGCCATATACCAGGGTAACAAACCTGCATATGTACCCTCTGGATCCAAAATAAAAGTTGAAATTATTTAAAAATATATTTATGGCATGTTTCTTGTAAATACCATAGTTAGGTCTTGCAGAACCCTCATTAAGTCTATGACAATTTTTTCTATCTTGTATTATTATTAGATACCTTAGGTATCTGGCGTATAAAATACATAAAGTTAACAGAGATAATCAATTTATAATACTGAATGTAAAAAATATCGTGTCTATTTTTCTAAAAATAATCATATCAAGTTAATTTCTTCATCAAGGTTGATAAAAATGTCAGCATCTCCCTGTTTTTATGGCCTTTCTGACCCAATGGTCAAGGACAATAATAGAGAGTCTTGGTTTTTGAGTCACTTTTGGATGCCACTGTTACAGTAGGTAGCTAGTCATATATGAGCAGAGCAGGATAGGGACTCCCCCCTGCCCCCACCGCACACACCAGGAATGTCAGGCAGCCATCAGGCGATGGTAAGGCAGTTGTTAACTGTCTCTCTGAAATAATAATTGGTTGCAGCTGCTGCCAGGGACCGGCAATCCCCCAATAAACAGAAACACTTGAAACTGGTGATTGGCAGCTTCCCAATAAGATCTCAGGAGTTGGACAAGTGGGCTCAAGCATGCACAGTAAAATGGTGGAGTTTAACTGGCATATGACCTTCCAGGGACATTCAACTGGTAAAAGAAGAATGCCTCAAGTGAGCATGTGTACAGCTCCAGTAAACACACTGTGCATTCTCCCAAGTGCTAGCAGGCCACTGCCATGCAGACAGCCCACCCTAAGGGAAGAATTATGGGAGAAGAGATGCAGGACCTTGGAAGTACGCTAATGTATAAAACCTCAAGTCAAAAGGTCAAACTGGGGCCAGGTGCAGTGGCTCACGCTTGTGATCCCAGCACTTTGGGAGGCCAAGATGGGCGGATCACTTGAGGTCAGGAGTTTGAGACCAGCCTGGCCAACATGGCAAACCCCTGTCTCTACTAAAAATACAAAAAAGTTAGCTGAGCATGTAGTTTTTATGACTAAAATTAATTGGCCAATCTCTTCACTGGGAATCAGGATACACTAACTCTGGGTGCATGCCTGTAATCCCGGTTACTCAGGAGACTAAGGCAGGAGAATCGCTTGAGCCGGGAGGCAGAGGTTGCAGTGAGCTGAGATCACACCACTGCTCTCCAGCCTGGGCAACAGAGCTAGACTCCATCTCAAAAGAAAAAATAAAATAAAATAAAGGTCAAACTAGGTCAAACTGTGCACTAGTCTTTCAAGCTGCTCACTTGGCCCTCTTCCAAGTGTACTTTCATTCCTGCTCTAAAGCTTAATAAACTTTCACTCTTGCTCTAAAGCTTGCCTAGAGCTCTTTCTGCCTTATGCCCCTCAAATTCATTCCTCTCAGGAGACAAGAATTGAGGTTGCTGCAGACCCATATGGATTCACTGCCGGTAACATATCTTGTTGCCGTTTGACTTGGATCAACTTCCACCACCAACACCACTGCTGTTGGTCTTTGCCCACACATGCAGTAGAAGGCTGCCAACTTTGGTGAGACCTGATTATCCCCTCCCCCAGTACTGAGCTCAGACGTGGGATGGGATGATTAATGCTCTCCTTGGGTATCCAGGTAGCCATGTCTACAAGTGGGTCTACCGTCTCTAGTGGGCTTTGTCAGAGTGAACCTGACTATTACCCTCTTCTACCTCTAAAGCACAAAGCCCCTATAGTCTTTTTCTCTTCAAATTAGCCAGCCTAATCAGTTTTGCTTCTATAGTACGGAAGTGGAAGTTGGGGATCGGTGTGGAGAAAAGGTGATGTTTTCTGGTTTCTTCTTTCCTGGAAGAGTCCTCAGCTGTAGAAAAAAAAAAAAAAGACACTGAATAAATTTTTCAACAGTTCATTGTTACACCCTCAAGTTAAATAAAGTAATGAGTCATTCTTCACTGATTGAAAAAAAAAAAAAAAAACCAAACCAAACAAACAAAACAACTCTTTCATGAGACTGAGCAGAAACAGAGATCTGAGGCAGTCTCTTTTTGTGAAAGCTTGCAGAATAGCCTATGTAGTTATGAACTGAGCCACAGGTGTCCTGCCCAAGAGTTGCAGGAATGCCTGTGATGCTGATAAAGGGTGGGAAGGCAAGGCTGAGATTGAGAGGAATTCTGCCTTTTTCCATAGATGAAAAGGCTGAATGAGTAATCCTCCCACCTGCCCTTGTTTACTTCCCACTGTACTGTGTGTCCAATGTTATTCAACATCATTGAGCCCATGAGTTAACAACTAAATATAGAGGAAATCATGAAGGAAATGAAAGAACATCTTGGTGTTCTTGGAGAATGAAGAGGAACAGCTGCAAAAAATATTGTATAAGTCTTAATGAGCTTTCAGGTTTCTCTCTCCAGGAAGAGATAAAATGAACCAGAGAAGATGACCATTTAAACTAGTCAATTTTCATTCAACCAAAATTGAACTTCTATGTGCAACGAAATAAACAAACCTGCACCTGTAAAGGGCTTGGTGCAGTGTCTAGGTCAATAGATTCTAGCTGTGATTATCATGATTGGCAGGACTGCTCAACTGCTTGCTTTTCTCTCTCTCCTATAACCATTTTGCAAGAAACTGTGACAGTGGTAAAAACCTGATTTGCACCCACTGTGTGTCTTCCTTATTAGGCTCTAAGCTCTGTAGACTAGAGAATATGTGAGAGAAGTGATATAAATAAATTTTAAAAAGGAAAAAACAGGTTTCCCTTTTCTAGATGCTAATTTATTCTCTTTTTGAAATTGGAACAGGAACCAGACAGCTAAGCACAATCAAACTGTGCTCATTCTCCAAGAATGAAGATACCGTAAGAAACTCTTTTAGCATTCTGTTTTAACGGTAGATTGTTTTAGTATCATATTCCTCACAAAACCATTTTAAAGAGAAACAAGAACTGTTTAATGGCTGAAACAGAAAAAATACCCATTATTATCTTTAAACATAAACTTTGAATGCTGCTGTAAAACACTTGCTGAAAGTGAAGTACTTTGCATAGCTAGCATCCTCTATAGGACTACATTATATAAAGCAGAGCGAGGAAGTAAAATATCCAATTATAGCTTAAGGCCTTTTTGCTTCTACTTAGAAGGCTAATTTTCCTTAAAATATCTGGTAATAAGTACAGCTTGATGCCATTCGAGGACTCCTTTCAACCTATCTCCTGGCACCTTCCTGCCTCCTCTCTTATTGCAACCCAAAGATTTCTCATTGCTGACATAGGAAAAAGACAATTAAAATATCCAGAGGTATCTTGGTTTTAGGCACAGTGGGGTCAAGGTGTTCCATCAATTCCACTGGGACTCTGGGACTCAATTTCTCCCTCACTGATCTCTGCTTCCCTCTCTGTTGTCTGTGTTCTCAGATTCTCATTATCTGGGGGCAGAGATGGCCCTAACTTTGGGCTTAGATTCTATAAGCTTAGCAATCACAACAGAAAGAAAGATACTCTTTTCTGAAGCAATAGCTTCAAGACTGAAGCTCACTGGGCTAATTTGGATCAAGAGTTCCCTATAGACAAAGGAGAAAATGCTTTGGTAGGCCAATTGAATCCCATATCTACCCTAGAATCCATGGAGTGGGGTAAGACCCACATGAACTGCATGGGTTAAGAATGGAGGCAGAGTAATTATGCAAAGGAAAACTGGAGTGCTATTATCACACACACAAAAAAACCTCAAATGGATGCTGGGACATGGAACACAGTAAAACAAAACCAACCAAAAAGCTATCCATTACACACTCTGTAACAGAAAACATTTTAGAACTTAGCTAAATACTTGGAATCTTCTAGCCAAGCCCATGGGGATGGATGACTGTTATCCAACACAGTACTGAAGCATGCTCCTCGCTATATCTTCCATTGCCTCTCCAGACCTATTCTCTGCTTTGCCCTGTACCCTGTATGGAGTTCAACAGCCACTTTTGTTCTCTCTGGCTTCTCTTTGGGTTTCCCCAAAAGGGAGCTCTGATAACAAGCTGGAGGTGTGATGGAGAGGAAGGTTGGGATATTGATTTCCCCTGGCTTGCTCTTTATGTGAATCAGCTGCATCTCTACAACCAATGCCACACACAGCTCCTCTCCGCAGTGGTCTTCATACAATTTTCCCTCCAGGTTTAGCCAATGACTCTGTTCTCTTGTACCTTCAGGTCTAGGGGTTGCAGTAGTACTCTTACAGCTGCCACTCCCAGAGTAATGAACTATCCCTTGCAGTTTCTTTCTTTATGCCTTGCTCATGTTTTTGTAAATATTCCCTTTAATAAACTCTCCATAACACAATTTGAGTATGTCATGTATTTTCTCCTTGAATGTTATTGCTACTAATGGTATTTATCTAGACGTTGTTTATAGAAGTATTGCCTTGGATTTTAATTTTTTTTGAATGGAAGCTAGGAAGAGAAGACCAATGTAATAGACCTACTTCAAAGCTAACATGCTCTAATAATGTCTCACTGGTTCATGAGAACTCAACAGATCACACCTCTAGTTCATAAAAAATGAAATGAGATAGCTTTTATTCCTTCTTACCTACTGTAGTCACCCTTGAACTTTTTTCTATCCTGGTAAAGTCATTCTTTTTAAAGAATTCCTAAGCATCAGAGATAGTTGCATCAGCTATTGCTATTTTTCAGAAGAAAATAAAGCCAAAAATAAATACATGTTGCCACTTTTCCATCTTGTTTCTTTGCCACACTTTGCACCTTGTAATCTTCTCCTTCTATGTGTTATAACAATGGCTAATGCTTATGGAGTATTTACTTTTATGCAGCACCATGCTATAGTGCTTTACCTTTATTAACTCATTTGATCTCCATAGCAAACTTATAAGGGAGGCAATATTTTTATCCCTCTTTACAGATGAGGAAAGTGAAGCACAGAGAGGATAAGGGAGCTACCCAAATTTTTACAGCTGGTTAGTAGCAGAGCCAGGATTTGAACCCAGGCAGACTGGCTCCAGAAGCTATGCTCTTAATAAATTCTGCTTCTTCTTCATGATGGAGCCACAGCCAAAAGGGAAGTTAAAAGTTAACTATGCTTCAGAACCCCTCATTTTACAGATTTATCTGAAAGGATGATTAAATGATTGGTGTTTATTATTTATTCCATAATGATCAAAATTTAGGCATTGCAACTTTCATGCCATCTACTTTACATCATCATTGAAATAAGGCAGAGTGTAAACTAAACTGGATATCTGCTATTTTTGCCAGCTCCACACTTCACCCTATTTCAAGCCCCTAAAAGCTGACTTATATTGGTTACGCCACTGGACTTCCTTTCTGGATTCCAGTTGGGTTTGGCCAATGGAGAGCACCAGTAGAAGATTGAGAGAGGGAGGGGAGTAAGGTTAGGGTGTTTATTCTATCAAGTATAATCATAGTTATCTATTGCTGCTCAACAAAGTATTCTAAATTTAGCGGTATAAAATAATTTTATTATGATCAATTCCACACCCAACTTTTGTAGGACAGGAATTTAGATAGCGTAGTGAGGATGGCTTGTCTCTACAATGTTTAGAGTCTTATCTGGCACTCAAATGCTGAAGATGGCTTTACATCTGGAAGCTGAAGTTATCTAAAGGCACATTCACTTGAATGTCTATCAGCTGATGCTAGTTATTTATTGTCTGAGACTTCAGCTGAGTGGTTGGCCAAAACATCTACAGGTAGCCTTTCCATGTAGCTGCCCTACCTTGGTGAATTGGGTGAGATTGGTCTTCCTCATAGCATGGCAGCTGGGTTCCAATAGTGAGTATCCCCAAGAAGCAGGTGGATGCACGTGGTATTTTTATGCCCTATCTTTGGAAGTTGCATATATCACTTCCAACATGTGCTATTAGCTCTGCTCAGATTCAAGGGGAGGAAACATAGTCCCCATCACTTCGTGGTAAGAATGTCAAAGTTGTATTGTAAGAAGAGCATGTGGGATGAGAATGATTTTGCAGTCATCTTTGGAAAATACAATGGGTCACAAGATTGAGATTTGAGGACTAAGTTTGTATATATAAGCATGGCTCAACTGGAAAGGATATGCCTATAAGGGAAGGAATACATTGAAGAATTTATAAAAAATGTCAAGAAAGAAGTATGTCACAACCGAGGGCATCTCCAGGGCTTACAATATAAATGAATGAAAGAATGATTGAATATTAAATGCAAAAAAGAGTTCCTAAACCCCCCCAGTTCTTCCCCCAGTTTCTAAAAAAAGAGATCTGAATATTTTTAAGAAAGTATTAACTTGATCAAATTGTGTGTGTCTGGAAGAAGTTCCTTTTTTTGTGGAAGAGGACATTGTGAGGACACTGAATTTGGGGATCTTTTTAGCCATGAAAAAGGCATGCTTGGTGTTTCTCCTTTTGTAATTCCAGTAATCTTGCTGTAGCATGCAAAGCAGTTTTCAGGAGGGTGGAAGGCAGAATTTATTTCCAGCTTTTCTGCCCTGCTTTTTCCCCATCTTTTTGGTTTTATCTGCCTCTGGTCTTTGATGATGGTGATGTACTGATGGGGTTTTGGTGTAGGTGTCCTTCCTGTTTGATAGTTTTCCTTCTAACAGTCAGGACCCTCAGCTGTAGGTCTGTTGGAGATTGCTTGAGGTCCACTCCAGACCCTGTTTGCCTGGGTATCAGCAGCAGAGGCTGCAGAAGATAGAATATTTCTGAACAGCGAGTGTACCTGTCTGATTCTTGCTTTGGAAGCTTCCTCTCAGGGGTGTACTCCACCCTGTGAGGTGTGGGGTGTCAGACTGCCCCTAGTGGGGGATGTCTCCCAGTTAGGCTACTCAGGGGTCAGGGACCCACTTGAGCAGGGAGTCTG